AGGAAGGAATTTCAGACTGGCCACCAGAACTGTCAGGAAACATCCCCTCAAAATTCCAGTCTTCTAGCTTCTCACGTTCTCGAGTCAGTAACTTACTCGGAAGGAACCTTCACGGGCCTGTACGTAGGTACCACGCTTACCCGCGGGCAGGGTTTGAACTCGTTAAGGCCACTTAAACAGGGAACACCCCCTAAGATTTCACCTCCTAAGAACACCCCCTAAGAACACCCCCTAAAATCTAAGATTTCAGCTCTCTAGCTTCATACATCCCCGAGTTGTGGACTTACCCAAAAAAATTTTGGCAGGCTCGCACGCGGGTACCACGCTTACCCGGGGGCTGGATTTCAGCTCATTGGCACCTGCTTGGACGAGGAACATTACCCTAAAATTTCAGCTTTCTAGCAATCTCAGAACCCCGAGTTATGAATTTGCGCAGGAAAAATTTTGGGGGGACCGTACGCGGGTACCACGCTTACCCCGGGGCTGGATTTGAGCTCATTAGTACCTACTTGGACTGGGAACAATCCCCTAAAATTTCAGCTTTCTAGCTTTTCAGATCCCCGAGTTGTGAACTTACTCGAAAAAAACTTTGGGGGGCCCGTACGCGGGTACCACGCGAGGTATGGCGCCAATTTTGGGGATTGGTGCCCGTACGTGCATGTAGATTAAGTCCCCAAAATCTCAGCCCCGTAGCTTTTGAGGTCTTGAGATGAAAAACCGTGGCAGACACACACACGGACACACAGACACACAGACAAACACACAGACAACCTCTCGTCAATATGCGTTTTTCGCATTGCATTGCTGCAAAAAACGCATAAAAAGGGATCTCGAATGCCGCATAAGTGAAATTAGAAATAAATCGCTGTAAAAGTATCGATTTGAAAGAAATGGCACGAGCACGGCGTCTGAATAAGCAGTCTCTTATTTTTCAAACATTCTGTGGAGAAAGATTTGCGGATTATTTGTGCCAGTCACAAAAAGCAAACGTTAAACAGGCATTAAACTGACTACGATTTTGCAAATGGAATTTACGGTCATAAAGATTTTTTGACTTTCTACAGAAAGAAGCAGCATACTTGAATTTCACCGCCAAGATCCTTGGACCCAGTAAGCTCGGCATTTTTGTATGGGAAAGAGCATTCCAGAACGCCACCATTATTCCAGGCGCGACCGTGAACGGGCTTCCCGTGTTTGTACCATAGAGCAACATACTGGTTGGGTTGATCCAAAGCATGAACTGGATTGTCTGGAAATGGTGAGCCAATAGGGCCAAATGCCCAGGAATCTTCCTGTGCAGGTGGGTTTTGTGCTGGCATATTCAGCTGCAACCGATACCGAGGAAGTGCTAAGTGAGACACACGATAACTTGAAAATGACAGAACATGGACAGCGGTTACCCTTTTAAGCAGTTAATCATACAAAATATGCAAGCACGTATGCAGATTTGTTGAAATAAAATATGTCACCAAATCAATCCACGTCTGTCCACAGTCAATCACTCCACATTCGTGCACAGTTCATAATCTGTAAGCCTAAGGTTATAAAACACAATAAATTAAATGAATGGTGCGTGAAAGTGAAGCATCAGGCTACACGCAAACGTGGAATGATTGGCTGTACGCGTGTGAATGACCTGGTGGCATAATTCACTTTATTTTTTTGGGCGAACTTCGAATGATTTCGTGGCATATTTTATTTCATTTTGTTTTATTCTTCTTTATTGAACAGCCTTAAACTTTTACAGATTTTTGGTTGTGTGTGAACGTGGAGTGATTGGGTTACACGCATATATGAAGTGACTGTGTGGAAAAGTGGGTGGTCGCGCACAAACGAGGAGTGATTACGAGAGAGCATGAAGTGGCTGTGCGTGAACTTGACTGCTTTATTTAGTGCAAAACTGAATAATCGCATCGGC